TCGCCCAGGGACGGCGCCCGAGCCCGTGCCCCAGCGGCACGGGAGGCCTCCCCGGGCCCAGACTCATCCCAGGACTGGCTCTTCACAGAGGACTCGGAAGGGAACAGAGTGATTAGACATCCGATCCGCAACTAGGAACAGGCCGCACAGGGAGGTCTGGTATTGTTTAATGAACAGGAGAAGCCCTCCGCTGTCTGCACCGTGCGTTGCTGTCTTCAAGAAGGATGCAAGGAGTACGCCAGCGTGCACATGGTGCAGCAAGCAGGAGCTGGGATTAACGAGGAGAGTTTTGTGCAAATAAAGAGAGTGTTTTTATCCAGGCCTGTCGTAATCCTTTCTTGCAACATGCCCTACACAGGCCCCGTCCTCCCGCAGCTGAGCGACTCGGCTTTGCAGGGAGCGACCATCCGCATTCCTGGCAAGGCCGGCGTGCAGGGACCGGCTCTCTGTAGTGTGGGTGGGAGCGATCTGTGACACTTCCTATTGACTTCACCCGCTGCCGGTGCCCTGGTACTGCTTGCATTCGGCAGTGTGGCAGCATCCTGGAAGCAGCAGTGAAAGGTTTCACTAGCAAAAGCACAATCATTTCCACAACCCTGCAGAGCCTTGCTGCCGAGCTCACCTCTCTCAGCACGTCGCTGTGCGGTGGTTTCAGACACCAGCTGCCCTGCGGGGTTCGGGTCCAGCCCCCAGCTTTAATGCCGTGTTTCTGTGACTGGAGCATGCTGCTAGACGTCACTGACTGCAGGAATTGGCAAGATTGAGAGACTTGGCTTTAAACAGTCAAGCTATGGACAACCACCCCTTGCTTTGGGATTAATGCAGCTGGGGCCTGATGCCTGGCGTGGGGAAGCTGATCTGGGCCGGGAGTTTGCAGCTTCCTTGTTAGGTGGCTCCGGCTGCCCTCGGACAGCTCGGTGAACTAGATCATGCAGTACAATCGCTCTCAGCCAGGGCATGGTATTCTGAGTCACAGGGAAGCACATTTGCTATAAAAAGGCACTGAAGATCTGTGAGGTGCCCAGCTGCTACTAGCTCCTGCAGACCTCCTCCCAGACCCATGCCTTCATTAGCATTAGCAGGACTCAAAAGGTAGTTAAAACACCCAAAGCTGCCCTCCAAGTGGCTGTGACGGGAGGGGGGGCTCCAAGGTCTTCAGGGCTGGTTGCCATCCATGTCATGGTATGACAGCCCCACCAGCACGGTTACTCATGCCAAACCTCAATGCAGGGATTGCTGCTCCTGCGGGCTCCCTGGTAAGGGGGGCAGTGGGATGGGAGCTTTCTGGCTGGCCCTACAGGTGGAGGTTTGATAACAGATCATGCTTCCTCCCTGGCTGAGCCATCACTGGGGAATAACATCACACCTTTGCGCAAACCACCCGGGTGAGAGGCCTACGTGTTCTGCTAACGGCCATTGTTGGCACTCTCGACTTCTATGCAGAAAAGCCGGTGCTGCTGGAGAGACCAGTTCACCCCAGTAGCCTGCCCAAGCAGAAGTCACTCCTACTGCTCATGCCTCGGTAGGTCCCGAGATACCACGCCGCTGGGCTGTTAGCCAGACTCTCACTGCAGTCAAAAGTGTCTGGTCCACGGTCAGCTAGGCTCCGTGAGAACTCTGGAGGAGGGTCACGGTAGAGCCTTTGGGCCCAGGTGCGTCAAGGAGAGCGGGCAGAGGGAGTGGAGCTCCTTGCCTCTGCTTTGAATGCAGTGCTGCTCAGTGAATTATTTTTGGTCACTTTAAATGGTAGGGCCTGCTGCTAAACTAGAGATTCTTGGCCCTCCAGGCAATACTAAGCGTGTATCTAGACACGGGATCATTCCTGACACCTTTCTGTGGACACCTTTGTTCTGGAGGAAGCCCAGACAGAGCTATACAGGAAGCTACTCCACTTTCAAGTCAGATCCCCTAAACCTTAGCCCAGGTAGCCTGCATACTTTGACTGCGCTTTAGGCAATGGAGCCAAGAGAGGAAGGCACACAAAGGGCATGTCAGAACCCAGCCCCAGGCAGGAGCTTACCCTGCTGACAGGCAGGAGCCAAGCTCTGTGGGGGATAGTGTGCACTGAAGGATAGAGTCCTGGATTGGGACCGATAATCTGGGGTATATGCCCAGTTCAGCTCCTGGCCTGTTAGGTAACTTTCAGCAGGTTGCTTCACCTCTGCCTCAGCTTCCTCACCTCTATAACAGGAATTCGTTCAGATTGCAAGGCTGGATGGGACCTCGGCAGATCATCGGGCCCAGCCCCCTGCATTAGCATCGGGACAATGATACTGAGCAGCTTGTGGAGGCCTCCACGACATGCACGCGAAGAGCGCTCCAGGAACCAGGCGCAGCATCGCCCCTCAGCTGTTCTGTCCGAGCTGAGCCAGTCACTTCTTCCGCAACAGTCGGAAAAGGATGCGTTCTTCTGGGAATTGCCTGATTTGGGCTAGGCCTTTCCGCGACCGACGTGTCGAACCCGCCGCAAGCGCCGGCAGAAGGGATCCCCCGGCTCTCAAGTTGAGGACATTAAGGACACCTGCGAGGCTCATTGGAGGACCAAGCATAGGGCTCCATTTATACAAAGGAAACATCGCACACCCTGAATACAGCCGTGAGGAACAGTTGCAGACAACCATCTTTACCCAAAATAAAACATCTCAACCAGTGAGAATCACCGCTTCCTTTGAACAGCCTCCTTCCCTTTCCCCTCCCTCAAGTTCCCTGCGGTGTTAATCGCCTCGCTCTGGTGGGCTCCGGCCATTGTATTCAAACTATATCCTTGCTGAAATTTGCGTTAATAAAATACATTTCATCTGACTAGAAAGATCACGTTCGTGAAACACGGAAGCCGACTTGGGACGGGCCGTGGGCCTGCTATCGTGGATCTCCGGGGACAACTTGAACTTTAAAACATTACAAAAATATTTTAGTCGCTGGCCTGCTGACACCAACCTCACGTTTTTTAAGCTTATTAAAGAGTCCAAAAATTCACATCAACTCTTCCCGTCCCATTTGGGACTGGAAAATAATTGGAAGAAGACTTAGGCAAGGGAATCCTTTTCTGGGGAGAACGACACAAGCTCCTAACCAGCTCAGGCCAAAGGAAAACTTCCTAAAGAGCTGAGGATGAGGAAGGAAGCAGCAATTTACTCTCAGTGACAGCCTTGCTCCAGGCTCTCTGGGAAAGTAGTAGGAGCTTGATGTCCAATTATATCTGAAATGGGTAGCTAATTACCCCACAACAAGGATGTCATGAGTTTAGTTAACTTGAATAATTAATTTGAATCTAAACTCACAGAGGAAGACACACGGAGGAGGGAAAACTTCACCTAGCCACACACATATCACTCGTTAGAAGAACCTCACCAGTAAAATGCTTCGGTTCAAAATAGGGTGGAAAAGAATTTCCATTTTCTTAAAAAGTTTTTATATATTAAGATACGTGGAAACACTGCAAATCCAAAGTTTCTTTCTCAAATAAGTGTCCAGTGCAGATATAATTCCTAATTAAAGAGGCAAAAAAGTTTGATCCTTAGGAAGGCAGCTACTGTGGAGAGAAATCTCAGGAGCACGATATATGTTGCTTACGGAGTTAAATTAGAGCGTGGTGTCACTTCTCTTTCATAGCTATATCTTCATCCTTTAAAGCAAACTTTCTCCTCAACGCTTCTGAAATGAGAATAGCTGGATCTTCCTCCTTCAGTAAAGTTCGGTTCCTAAAGGGAAGATACAGAGTTAACGTGAACAGAGCTTCTCCAAAGCATTACTTCCCCAAATCTATGGCGAACAGTTCCTGTTATGCTTCAGTTATGAAACTTTAGCCTGAGAAATATTGGTCACTTAAAAACCTGTTCTGATTTCAATGCTCTCCTGCAGCCACTGCTGTCAGTGAGTCTCTAAGCTGGGTCAAGTGCAAAAACCTGAAAAGGCAACACGAAAGCCTGAGGTTTTCAAAAGTCCTAGGATGTTTAGGCACACAGCTCCTCTTAATGTCACGGGACTTTTTTGTGTATTATTCTACTGTTGAAAAATCTCAGCACAGAGTGCCCACTGCTTTCCGGGAAGGCGGTAGCGGCAGGTAAAAACAACGTGCCAAACTCGAGCTCTTTGGAGCCTTCCCTAGGGCTTCCAACGGATTTACTGCTTTGAAAAACATCCCGGTCTATATTTGCAAGTTTTCTTGCAACTAATTTGATCGTGAGAAATGAGTCGTGCTGTGTCAGGTCAGTTTTACTTCCTCTTTACTCACATCACTCAGTAGCAGGCTTACACTGACATCTGTCTTCACTGGCCTGCCTCTTTTGCTGCATGCCAATGAGCAGTTTACTTGCAAGTAAGTCAATCACATGTACATCCTGTGCATTTGCTTCACAGGATGGCAAGGAGTATGGATTATAGCGAGCTACCAACAATACCCGAGAGGAAGAGTTTGCTTGGATCTCATGTAAGCACTGATCCGAGAGTAAAAGCTCCCTGTAGGCTGGAATGCCATCAGTTTAATTGTTTAAAGGCCTCTAAAAGCATTGATGAAAGCACAAAAAAGGGGTTTCTGTCCATTTTAAACACCTTCAGCTACCTCACTGCATTAACACTTTGTACTAGAAAATAAAAGATTAGAGGGTCAGGACTGTAAGCCACAATTAATACAGTGTATACATTCAGCTGTTAGGATTATATAGCTGGTTTTGTAGATTGAAACCCTCCACTGATTTTCCCACAAAGCGGGACTGTTCCCTCCGACACCAGTGCAGACACAGGAATCACAACACGGCCTCCAAAGAAACCGCTGAAGCCATTACCTCCACCAAGGCAAGCCTAAGAGAAGTTAAAGTGGTCCAGGGTGCCAACGCACTCCTCTCTCCAAGGAGGTAAGGACAGGAAACCACTAGTAGGTACAGAGGCAGCAGCTGGCCAGTAGCACGGTGAGACAGGAGGGACAGAGATGGAAGCGGGGCTGATCAGAAGGTAAAAGCTGCTCCAAGATCAGTAAAAACTCATCCTCCACAGAGAGGAGAGGACAAGCCTCCCAGCAGCAAGGCACAACCAGTAGCTATTGCAGAAAACTGACACCAGAAACTAGCAGCAGAGCCTGTCCCTTGCACTGATATAGAGGAGCCCGGGGGCCAGACGGCAGTGTCTCGATTCCTTCGAGATTCCCATTAAACTACCCCAAGGACCAGGCAGGTAAATCACAGGCAATCAATGAGTGCAGTGATGCCTGAACTAATCAATCCCATTATAAACAGGGCTTGGAAGGATGTACTCACATTCAAAGCAGATCCGCACGCTACATGCTTTTAACCACACACTGAATGAAAGGATCAGCAGGCACACTACACAGACAATTCCCTTCCAAAGGGCATCACAGACATTAAGAGGGCTCTATTTTGATATGCGTTGACACATGCACTTCTGCAAGCGTGTCTCATACTCATTTCTGCAGCTTCCGGGGCTGTGTTTTAACACCGATTCCTAAATAGAGAAGCATCTATTTAATCATCTTTGTTAAGTGTAAACCACACTTCCACCCACACGAGTTACACGGCCACACACCCTGCTTTTTATAAACCTTCCCAGCGGGTTGCAGGCCGACCGGTACAACCTCAGGCCGGCTCTAAACTAGGAGCATTTGACAAGTGTATTATACTGGCAAAGCACTCCCTTAAAATACAGCTCTGCTGGTACAAAGCCACCTTTCACAGGCAGAGTAAAAGCCATTTTGCTGGGAGAGCTGCATCTACCCTGGGGGCTGTTTCTGGTACAGGGATAAACCCCCACCCCCCAACCAAAACGCTGTGCCAGTGGCCAGGAAGCTTCTGCCAGCAACATCACCATGGCCCAAGGCTGAAGCAGGAGATAATTATCGATACACCAAACTGTGTCAAACAATAGACTGAATAACGACATTGCCTGAGTGATTCCTGATGATTCACAGGCCTGCGATTCAGGTACAGCAGCTGTATGCCAAAGGGCACCTCTTGTACGTCAGAGGCAAGGCAATGGGCCGAAACGGAGGGCCAAACGAAAGAAACGCAGCTGAACTCAAACAGCAAATGAGCTCAAGGCTATGGGTCGGCATACGTGTGGGGAGAAGCAGCACAGGAAGCGTGGTGCTGCAGCCTTCCCACGGATCCATGCTGTTGGCCCCAAAGGTCACAGGGAAATGTATGTTATTGCTAGCACAGTTTATTGCCCAATACCAGGGCAACCCAAACACCCGCTTACCAGGGAAAAAGCCAAACTGTGGATACATCCGCTAAACTGGGATTCAGCTCCTATCACTCCCCAGCCATCAGGGCTCCATATGGCTGGAGCCTCAAGAGTTAGGGGGGCAGAAAGCGTGGGGATCTTCCCCCTCTGCCCACCAGGTCCCAGGGAGCTAGAACACGTCAGATAACCTCTAACCCCAAGGAGCCCATGCTAACACTTGCTGCTGGCTCGCCCCTTCAAGGAACAAGATCATGGGAACATTGTTCCCCACTGCAGTCAGCCCCTTCCTTGGGGAAAGGCACAGGCCACTAAATGCAGTCCCCCAAACTGTACTGGTGCTGATTCCCTTGCTGTCGCAGAAGGGTGGCCCCCACTGAGGTGAATGGAAAGGTTTAATAAGTAGATTCCACCTGGTGAAACACCCTCTCTGTGTCTCCTCATTCTGCTCTGCTGGCTGAAGAATGAGACCGAACAACATTTGTACGTCCATCCAAAGTTCTCCCTGCCCACTTTGGCTGAGGAAGAAGCTGGTCCAAATACCCTTCATTACACGACAGCCCCCTCCCAGCCACAGCAGGCTTTTAGCAGGAGCTCAGCTGGGGCTGAAGGCGGCCCTGAAGCAGCCGTACTCCACTTCAACCCCAGGCAGGGGGAAGGCACAGGCCTCTCCTGCTAACCCAGCTGCTTGGCCAAAGAGCTTCTGGTGAGTCTGGTCAGCTTAAGGTAAAAGGCACCAGCTCTGGTTGTCAGAGGGCATGGATTCACGCCAGCAGAGCCTGGTGGACTTGGTGAAATGCCTGTAGAGCAATCCCAGTTCATATAATGCCTGCTTCCCCTGCCTGCCTTCTGCTCAGCACCTCCTACCATGTACAACGACACCCCATAACTCAGCCTCTGAAAAACCACAGGACAGGCAGGATCCTGAGGTCCTACCACGTTTGGCTGTTCCCTCTCTCACAGGAAGGGTCTATCCTCCATAGAAAACCAATGATGTGCCAGTCTGCTTTTGCACTTTTAATGAGATTTGCATTACAGCACGCCTCCTGCAAATAGAGGAAAGCATAACCAAGGCTTGTGTGCCATTTGAGGGTTAACATTTTATGGGTTGTGAAGCAGAAAACCGGACTCTTATCTTCAAGAGCAGAGGATTCCTGTTTGTCTAAGTTTAACACAAATGACCCAAATGTGACCTTGCAGCCTGTTACCCAACCGCGAACCAAGGCTGAGGCAGCCCAGCTAAATCCAGCAAAGTTACAAATGTGCTTTTGGAAAAATGACATCTCCATACATTCAAAACGGCTTTGGGATGCCAAGAACTGCTGCATTGGGCAGAACGGCAGAAACCTGAGGCAGCAGTTCAAGGGAGGACACGTGGTATGCATTTATGAGGAGTAATTCATTTAAGCTCTGTGAATTCTACTCCAGAAAGAGTAAGCACATGAGTGATAATGAAGGAGCGACTTCCAACTCCGAGCGATGTTTAATTCTTTGGATGGCTTAAGGAAGAGGACAGTTTTGCTGAGCTGCAGAGAGTGCATACTGGGTCATTTCATTTTTGGAGAACAAAAGGAAGACACAATAAAATTTTTTTCTAATCATGTAAGGCCTAAAACGGACACTCACTGTAATTACAATTCATTCTGACCCTGGCCAGGGCTTCCAACAGTATAACAACTGTTTGCCTGGGTTTTAGGGCAGCAGCTGGGGAAGACTCAAGTTTTATTGATGCAATTCCACATTTCCCCACGTCAAACAGAAACTGCACGAGAGGCAGCTGAGATATTACAGAACTGATGTTATCAGGAGGGTGGACTCCTGTCTCTTAGTAATGCAGAGGCACGTCATCATTCCAGTTTACAAGTAAAAAAGGACTTATACATCAACAGAGGCATGGAGACAGGCGCTCTGCTCAAACAGACGCTACCTCAACCACATCCTTCCAGCTCAGAGGGGAAGAGGGGCACAGATACATGGCAATGCAAAGGCAGTGTCTCAGACACTCAGCTTTGAATGGCTTTTCTCTAATTTCATTAAGTAGCATGTGCACTCCCTGAATTAAAAAAAAAAGATCATTTTGAAGGTGGATGAATTGTAGTGGGTTGCCAAATGTGGTGCCAGCACAGTTAGCTCTGGCTTCCCTCCTCCATTGTTTTCTACTCTAAAATTCAAAGGCACAAGCTGGGTTGAAAAGCTGTCATTCTGGAGGCAAATAAAACAGCACAGAAACAGACTGTCAGCAGTTTTCTGCATAATAACTCTTTGTAAATCATGGTTACCAGCCATAAGGACAAGCAGGCGCACGTAACGTGCGATGTTCCTGCCCTGCTCTGACACAAAAGATGACAAAAAGAGTAATTACAATAAAAAAAGTTCAAAGAAGACTTACAACTCTTTGTTCTGCTTCATGCGATGGATGTCTTTGAGAATGCCCATCATGTCTGCAAAACTGCTGGCCTTCGACAGAGAGATGGAATCCTCCTCGTCGGGATCCTTTGGCTCCGGCTTGCAATACTCGAGAGAGGTTGCAGAACAAAGCATGGACACCGAGGGGAACTCGGGAGTGTCTAGTTCTGCCACCTCCTCTGTGATGTCACTAATGACAAAGGAAGTTGTAGATTGGAAAGAGGATCCAAAACAAGGTAAGGGAGAAGAGACATTTGAACTTTCTGGAGATAATAGATCCGGCGTTAATGAAGCAGATGCTGAAAAATAAAAACACAGAGAGAAAGGTCAACTCGAGCCAAAACACCATTTTTCCCTTAGCAGCAGAATAAAAATCAAGCCCCAAACTCAGCCAGCCCAGGTTATGCAACAGACAGGCCTGAGGACTCTCTTTAACACTTCACATCACCACACTCAGTCCAGGACCTTCTCCTCAGCAACACTGCTTCCTACACCACCGGCCTTCTACCCCGTCCCAAAATCTAGGAACAGACAGGGCCATCACCACAGCACCTGCCCCCCAAAGACTTGATGTGGACCTCTGGGAACCAGGTAAGTATTCTTTCCCTTCTTCCTGGGTATGCAGTAGTATTATTCCTATTTTGCAGAAGCAAAACTGAGGCATGGAGATTAAGTTACTTGCTTCAGGTCTCAAAGGGAGCCTGCAACAGAGCTTGGACCAGAGCCTAAGTCCCAGTGCAGTGACTTAACCAGGAGGCCATCCTCTCTCTTTCAAGACAGGGCTGGACTCCTGGCCTAAAGCTCCATCCCCTCCAAACGTGCTCCCAGCCCTCTCCTCTCCCAAAATGTTTCCTTCCAGTCCTCCTCTTGAGAACGCCTTAGTTTGTACAAATGACATGGTATGAACACAGGGCCATGCTCTGACCTAGTTCAGGTCAGTCTCTTTGCCCAATTTTGCTCATCTTGCCTACCAGGCAGAAAGGCAGGGTTCACCCATTCCAGTCTGCAAAGTGCTTTACGGACAACAGCTAAACAAACCCAAGTGTCATGAGGCAGGAGGGGCAGGAAGCTAGGGAGTAAACCAGAAGTAGGATTAGACGACTTCTTCCAGAAGAGCTTTTTCTGCATCAGAAGGGAGCCAACAGTACCTGGCCGAATAAAGGTGTCAGCACTTAAAAGCAGAGAAGACATGACAGCTGCCAATTACCAATAATCAGACTTTCTCAGAAGTAGATAAAGGGGAGCTCACAGTAACGACCCCTTGCCATCAGTGCCTCCAAAACAGAAGAGATAGCCAGAGTTATCCCCTGGACCAACCAGTTCCTTCGCTCCAGCTACATTCTGCATTATCATTCCCAAGCACTAACAGCACAATATGCTGCAAGCTTGAAAGAAAAGCCCATGGAGGACAGCTGATGCAGCCAGGCCCATTGCTGGGCGAGAGGAAGGAACAGCTGACACGTTTTCTCTTATACAGATTTGATTCATTCACAGCTATTCCTTTCCCTGAATCAAGGTGGAGTCTTCTAACACATGGGCTGAACTACAGGGATGAGTGATCACCGACCTCTTGCTCTGAAGCAAAGACGCATGTAAAGTTCACGGGAAGAATTCATGGCATTTTTTCCTGTTCTTTGCTTATTTTTAATGCACTTGCTCTTATCTGATCCTGCACGGGGAAGAAAGGACATGTCTGGGCTGCCTCACTTCACCCTTGCTGAACTGGCTCTCTTGGCTTGGAGAGATTTCCTGTTCTTTGATACTTCATGGCTTCTACCAAAGCAGGATGCTAACATCCTTCCTTTACCTGCCTGACCTTGTTACTGCCCCATTTGTCTATGTTTGTATTCCCCTGCTGTAAAAGGGACTGAAATTTTGCTATTTATTTCCAGCTTTGTGGTCTAACACTTGCCACGGTCAGAAACTGACAGCTCTACCCTCTTTTAACTGTTCCCCACACACTGAGGCACCAAGACGATCGTGGGCCTTGCACAGTCACATCACTCAGAACAGCCTGCAGAAGGAACAAGCATCATGGCAGGCTTGGGGGCTACCCAAAACCTGCCTGCATATTTCCATAGAGTGCAGGCCACAGAAGGGTGAAGCTTCTGCAGCGAGTTTAAGCAATTTGATAGAAGTAAACAGACTCCAGCCAGCCTCTTTTCCTCGAGCATAAATCAGCCCTCATCTCTGATCAGGAAAAACAGAAATGCTGGCATCACACTCCCATGGAAACAGCCAGTAATCCTTTCATACAGTCACAGGGTTGCACAGGCCCCGAGGGCCAGCTAGTCCTACCTCTGCAGTGCAACAGTCTCAGCACATCCCAGCCTCAGAGGAAGGAAATTCCACAGCTTCCCCCTGGGCAGCTTGTTCCACTGCTCTCACAGCGAGGAAGGCTTTCCTGAGGTTTAAAGTAACCTAAAACAATGTAATGAGAGGCCCAGGACCATCTGACAAGACCAGGCATCCTACACTTCTATGCAACGGAAGACTCAATCCCCTTCCTCTTTCTCAGATGCAGTAACAGCTCCCACAGTTATATTTGGTTCCTTTTCAAACTAGACAGTATTTAGCACCTAAATGAAGTGCAGGTCCTTCTAACCAGCAACAGAAACGGTCACCCCCAGACAGCAAACAACAGGGAGAAATGTGGAGTCACTGGTGCTAATCGCATCTCTGATCCTCCGTGCCATTCTTGCTGTTCCTTATTCTAGATGTTTTAAACAGTCACATTTGTGTTTCAACACTCTTGGCATTTAGGAAGCAGAACAAATGTCACTTCCCAGCTAGCCAAAACTCCTACAATGGTCAACTCAGTTGTAGCAGGCAGAGCGAGATGTGTAAGAGGTTCTGCTATGTATACTGGGGCTCTTTCACAGCACACGTATTTGTCACAAGTCCCATACTAGAGACATGGAGAGAAAATACTGACAATCTGTAATACAGCATGTGATCAGTACCAGCAGCTTTATGCTGGGATCATCACTGCTCAGGTCTCCTCACTAGCAAAGAAGGGCCTACCTGAATCACCAGCTACAATTTTAGCTATTTGGCTCCGCAGGTGACTCAGCTCCTCCTGAAGCTCCGTAGTCCGACTCAGGGCAGGTAAACCAGGTTTCTTCAAGGCAAGCAGCTTCTCCTCCTGCTTCCTCAAGTTGGGGACCGAGGCGTTTCGCTGGATAACCGTGAAGGGGCTGGGCTTCCACTTGTGTTTTAGTGGCCGAGTGTCGCTCCTAAGTGGTGCAATACAAAACCTCTCCATCATTCACATGAAGCAGACCTGTTGTGAGCACAAAACTTTGCACTTCTGTTGCCTACCAAGGGATCTCCAAGCACTTTACAGACAACAAATTAAGCCCCACACCACTTTTGGGAGAACAGCGTTACATCCACTTGATAGACTGGAAAACAAAGCAGCACAGGAAGTTTGGGACAGAGGCAAAAATAAAACCAAACCTCCCAATTCCCAATCTTGAACTTTAACCAGGAGAACAGCAGACTATTCCTGTCCTGTTGGTGACTTACGTTTCTATGTGATGAAGTACAATTTGGAGGCAGCGAGTGAGGTGTCACCCAGCCCCACAGCTTGTGGGATCATCTGACTGCAAAACCCATTGCATTTCTCACAGATGACATTTAATGTTAAATTACTAGAACTTCCAGTACTTAAACGGAAAGACGACGGCTCCCTGGAACCACAGGTCTGAATCCCAGAAGGAATGATTTGACCCCTCATCTCCGAGACAGATGCATGGGGTCCCGTGCAATTTATTTTATGGAAGTCTTTCAATTAGACATTGGTATTTAGGGTTGTATCTACTCTTTGGAGATATTAACTCTCTCCCTGGTAGCTTCTATAAGGAAGTGTCACCGTGATCTTGGTCAAAATGTCTCTACCCTTCTCACCCTTAAAGCAAAAACAAACAAACAATCGTCAATAGGTGTCTCATTAGAACTCAAAATTACTTGAAATTGGGCCTGGGGCCAACAAGGGAAAGAAGTACCTGACTCTAGCATATGTTTCTTCATCATCTGCTGCTATCCACGCAATGTCTGCCAGAGTAGGGACCGGAGGTATGTCATTTAAGTACAGATCAGAGACATTTGGCAGAACCTAGGAAGAACATTGCAACACCAAAGTAATTTGTGACTTTGTTCCATTTAACATGTGTGCTACAAGCTCAAGATATTGACACATGCGGGCCTTTTTTGCATCCATACCGTAGCTAAGTCTCAGGTGGAGGAAGTTAGTGCAAATGCATTTGCATAAATGCAAACCCTGTTGCAGTATGGTTTATAGATCTGTTATCTTTGCTTTTTTGGAATATGTCCCAGAAAACTAGAATATCAACCTGCAAAAAGTAGATGCTGCGGTGCTTAAATTGTTGCTGGAGGAAGACAAACAGTGCTGCGCATGTGCAGGTGCCAAATGAGCTCAGCAGGATGGCCCAACTTGTTCTCAAATGTACACCGAGGCAAACAATCCTCATTAGCGTGACTTTACAGATTAGGAAAGTGAGGTTAAGTACTTTCCCAAGGTCACTCAGTGAGCTAATGGCTCAGCCAGGAGATTAGACTCTCAGCCTCCTGGAAGCAGAAACCACCATCCTTCGTAAGTGCAGCCATACTCTTAGGGAACATGTATGATTCGCAGGTTGCTGTCGATCATTTTAAGATATGCAATTTACAAAAGCCAAGAGGGAAACTAGTCAAAACTCAAACTAAAATGTGTCCCCAGTATAACCCTGTGGGCTAGATGTCACAGGCAAGGGGGAAACAGTGCAGGAAAAGCACTTCTTGGGCTAGACCAGTGCCTATATCCAGTACATATATCCAGGATCTGTCTCTCACATGCTTACCTCAAAGGATGCCCTGGGACACGGTTTTAAGGGCAGGTTTGTCCCAATCCTCCTGACTACGCTGCGTGATGAGCCGCAAGGTTTGTTCTGCCAAATTGGGATAGTCTAGGAGTCGAGACAACAGTTTACAAAATCAGACAGTACCTGCAACACACCCAACTTTTGAAGGAACTGTCACCACAGAAAATTAAATCAGAATTCTGGCACCGTTATCACCTTTTATTCTTTTCGATGCATCTCATCAAGAGTCCCATCGAACCCCACAGGTTTGCTTTCAAATGAGGGTCCTTCCTGGAAATCTGCATTTGAACTTCAGATGTGGGAGGCAGCAAGATTGCTCATGTGTAAAGCTAAACACGTGGGTACTTATTTTCCAGGTTTTGGGGGTTAACGGCATTAGTTAATGTATGTGGGCTCAGAGATGAAAACGCATGGAAAGGACAGTAGCAGTGCAGTATATTGGATAAAGGAGAAGGAATAAATGAGACCACCACCCCAAGCCAACACAACCGTACACAGACACCTGGTCATTCAAGGCTGGGAGAATCAGCCAGCCAGATTTGAAGCTGGCTACATCGCTCCTGATGTCCTGCGGTCGCAGAAACCAGCCTTCCTTCCCCAACCAGGCCCGATAGGGGACCCATGGGCACATCTTCGTCTTCACAGTCCCACTTAGAGGGATGTTGTCAGTTTTGAAAGCAAGTTCCCTTGACTGCATTGCTATCACCTCCTTCACAAAGCTGAATGTTTTCAGTACCATTTGCAATAGCTATTTACTCTTCCTAGTTTTCATCTCGGGCAATGAAAACAGAGTTGGGGGAAAATATCTTAGCAGTTAAGTGCCCCCCCCCCCGAGTTTGATAAGGAGCTTGGGATTTGTGCATCTGCCCGTTGTCAATTTTGTATCTGTTTCTAATTGATTTCTAGTCAAGTGGCAGGTCTCAGGAACCAGCGCAAGGCTTTGGGCAGAGTCCACTTCAGGCAAACTAACAACGTGGATCTGTCCCGTCCGCGCAAAGATTCCTGTTCATAACTGACACAAAGTTGTACCTGATCTAACGAAGCCCGTACGTGACCTCAGCTACCCCGATTAGGTAACAAGTCATTTACACACGCACAAAACAAAATGAATCACTGGGCTCTGAGACATGAAAACCTAAGCATCGTTTGACTAACGGCTAGCAAGCTCCACAAGCTGCTTAATACCCTTGTCATTCAAACAGCGCTGCTATCATTTATATGCGGTAAATCTTATGCTGCACGCGCTACATTCGTGCAGCGATAATACCCGTCTCCGTAGCTCTTAGACCAACAATCGGAGCTCGTCGTGCCGGGACAGATGGGCAGCCGTCTCTGAGGACAGGTTCAGGATCCCCTCCCTGCACGCAACAAATGTTTCTGAGAAGAAAAAACGGGACTTACCGAATCTGTTGCCATGGCAGACCGTACAGAAGGCTGCCAAACTGGATGCACGAGTAAATCAGACACAAAGATCGCAGCTCCAAGACACATGAGGTGCTTTCATATCATTTCCTCTCAGAGAACAAGGACTCTCTCACTGAAAGACACAAGGACACTTGGATGAGGGCGAGTCCCACGGTTTCGAGCCGTCCAGACAAGCTCTGGCAGATCGCGCGGCGCCTGCTTAAAAAACACAACCTGACGTACCACCCGCACGTTTCTGTCGTATAAAGTCATTCAAATAGACCCGTTATCATGATAATACACCTGTTCAGGGGACGCTGCTGTGCGGTGCGGTGCGGGCTCCCACGGGAGGTGGTGCTCGCCCCTACCCTGGGGGTCTTCCAGGGGAGGCTGCACACACGTTTGGCCGGGGTCACCGGGGCGGGGGGGGGTGTTTAGGCCCCAAGCACAACGACACGACGGCTACGGTACTACGTCAACACGTACCGCTGACAGGCTGCGTGCGCGCCGCCCGTGGGACGCGGGCTAGAGACTGGGAAGCGGGGCCGCCGCGTCCTGCCGTCGCCGCTTCCGGGCGGCCATGGGCACGCGACCCGGAAGCAGAACGCGCTGTCACTGTTCCCTTCCGGGAGGTCGGCTTCACCACTGCGCCTGCGCGCCCGCTTCCTTCCGGGTGGTGACGTCACCCCGCGGGAGCGGCGCCACGTGCTGCAGGTCTGCCCCGCGGGAGCAGGGCAGGGGCACGAGGGTGTGGGGCGTCGCAACCACATTGGACCCCCAGAAATGCCCCACACACACTGGCGGATCGCGCCCCGCACGTTTAAACGACACCGCCTCAAGCACCGACCAGTTTTTCCATTCAGCCTTAAGCACCTTTTTGTCCTATAAAGTCACGATCGTGCATACCCGCCGTCTGCGTGTCGCTGGTGGCAGCCGGACCACTGACTGCGCACCGCTGCCCTAGCCTGGGGGGTGCCCGGTCACGTGGAGGCTGAAAACACAAGTTAAAAGCATCAGCTGCCCGAGGCCGAAGCAGAGTGACGGACGGGGCCTGACCCGGGTTTTCCCCCATGTTCCTCTCACGTGCAGCCTCCGGCAGTTCAGGCCGAGGACGCTGTGATGCAGAGGCCGTGCCCTGCTCGACGGTGGTGGACGCCCCTTTCCTCCACCCGCTTCACAAATCCGGCTAGGCTCTCCGCTTCCCCTAGTCTGGTGGCGCCGAGTCCCGCCCGTTCAGCGACGCCGCCCGAAAAAGAACCGCCGTGCGCTCGTTTGAAACTTACTAGGTACTCCGTTTATTTTGTGACCCCCAGTTCTGGCCGTGCGAGAGAGAGTATAAAAGAGCTGCGACACCCCCGCAGCAGGAGAACAGCCGCCTCTCGCGGAAAATAAGCTATAAACACAGCGATCCAAAGAGCCCCAGAAGAGGAGGGTACGAGATGTTTTTCTCCTGCCGTACAGCTGTCAAACATCAGGCCTGACCCGTTCGTGATTTAAGGTCAGACCGTCATGAAGAACAGATGACGGGGTGGGTGGGGGGAAAAACTTCTCTGCCTTCCTCCTCTTCAGTGGTACTAAAACAGCCTATAAAACCCTATGAATGATGTAGTAAAAATATGAAAAAGTGTTCAGCCCATATTAAAAAAGTTTAAGACACAGCTTCACCTCTCGCAACTAGAACAACCGTTAACCCAGCGGTAAATGAACAGTGATTGGGTCTTTCCGGTAGCTTTACTGTTAGAAGATTAATAGCAGAAGCACTTCATTCCTCTCCGTTGAGACCCACTGAACAGTCCAAACTGCTGGAATAATTTTGTCTGTTTCTGAAACAAAAGCCATCCTGACATGCTTACACTTGTAGCGAAATGACACATTTTCATGGAAAAAAGTGGCATTCAGGGACACTAGAGGGAGATGTAGCAATGTAAAACAGCCATTCAGGTCACCACAGATCTACTTTTTATGGTCCTAATTTGAAGGGGAATGTTTTAGGAACTGGCTACCTTTTGTCAACCCAAAAGCTTGTACCTGTAAGGTTTTGCTCACTAAGTGTATCCTGGAGTTGCCAGCACCACTCCCTGATGACTTAGGGTTACTTTCCAGAGGTGCCCGGTGATGCCGTGGCGCAGCAGTGGGCAAAACACAGGCATTAAGTGATTTACCATCACACTGGGACGCAGCCCTGACACGATCGCACTGACTGATGGTTATCCCTGCTTCAAATGAGCACTAGTGAGACAGGCAGTAAAATACAGACTTAAAAACTCAGACTATGGGTACTTCTCTCAGGATTTAACATCAGTCACCGATGACAAAGCCCTGGATCATCTCTCCTTTCATTATATGCGTTTTTACATGGAGAAGATGAAACCAATCTCTGCTCGTTCAGACGTGGCCCTGCACTTCCCTCCGTCCTGGTTTGCACCAAACCAAAACAGAAGTGTAGAATTAATTCCCTGTGACGGTAATATTTACACAGGGAACGGTCTGAAGTCTAAAACCCACCCTTATTTGAATCGAGGGGGAAAAAAAAAAAAAAAATCAAACGATGAAAATGCTTCCAACGAAGTTCTGTAAAACCCGAAAGGTTGAGTCGAAACAGAGGCTAAGGGAATTAGATACCCTGAAATTCCCAGTTTGAGCAACTAGAGCCCCTTTAGCATAAGAGCTACCCAGTGCTTGCCTGGTTCACAGTATCAATAGCTAAAGTGATTTGCATTGTCAGGATCGGATTTTGCTTCCAGACAGTAACACTGTTTACAAACACTGATAAATGGCACAATCGCCAGTCGAAAACCTGCCAGACCTGATCCTGTGACGTCCTTCTACCACTTCAGAGGCCTGCAGAACAGGGCCAACACACAGTTATAAAGCTAATACTGAGAAATGCCCCCACGGTTATTTAACACACTACAGCGGTGGTTCTCAACCTTTTTAGACCCAGGGCACCCCTCATTAACTTTTGTGAATTGAGCTGCACCCCATTTAAAAAACGGATTTATTACAGGGCACACCTTCTTGTAGAGGGGCTAGGCAGTAGGACCAGGGGAGTGGCCAGTCGGGGAAAAGCCTGAGCCTACCTGCTTATCTCCTCACATCTCAGCGGCACCCTTCAAAGGTGCCCAGGTACCTTGGTCACGAATCACTGCAGTACAGCAGACCTGGGACAAAGACCTCTCTACCAGATTGGTTTTTTAATCTGAAGTATGCATCCCATGAAGGAAGGAAAACAAGAATCCCAAACAGCACAGGGGCCTTGGGGGCTGTTCATCTTGTTTGGTCTGCTGAGTGCATTTCAGATTAAATCGTGCTTCGGCGAGCAGAAAAAAAAAGCATCACCAGCCCCGTTATTTGGCTGTGGCAATTGGCTGCTTTGATTGTCTACCACTGATTCTGTCTGACCCAGCGACAGGACAGCAAGTGTTCAAGGGGATGATAAAACAAGTAATCAATAGTTATATCCATGGACTGTAATAGGATTTTGCTATCTAAAGGACATCTCCATCTTTTTAATTAATTTACGTTTATACAAGTTCTTGGCTGCAGGATCAAATCAGAGCAGCCACTGAAGACTGTTAGAGGAGAAGGATCATCACCAGTCTGATGGCAAATTCTCCTTCATTCTTCACCCTTGGAAAAAATCTTGCGTGCAATTCTCAAGGATGTCAGGGAAAAAACACTTCATTTCTATAGCAGCTAACAGGCGAGACGGACACTCAACCCTCTCTTTCAAAGAAATCTGTTGCAGCTGATGGGTCCGCTTGTTCAGTGGACTTGGGAACATGAAACATGCAAGACGTAAAGTATGGATGGTAGCAAGTTACAGCTGTACACGACATGCAAAGGCTTCTGGATGAATAACACCTGGGAATCAGGTTAGGATGTCTCAGTGTTCGAAGGCTCTCAGGACAATGCTGAGCACTGAAACACACTGAGAACATATTTTGATGACGACTTTCCCACTGCCAGTTCCACCAGGTCGACTCTACAATCTCCCTCTCACTGAGAGATGTGGAAATACAGAGACCCTAAAAAAAAGGCCAGAACCCACACTACACAATGATTTGTAGATCAGAGTCAACTCATTTGAACTGCTCCAGAAGCAAGGAGAACTATTACCAAATGCTAAATGTTCATAGAAAGCATCATACACTGGCAGCTGAGCTCTGCAACCCTTGTTCATAGAGAGTGGCACGTGACATGAACAAGTGGTGCTGTACGGACGGTGGGTAAGGAAGTCAGGCCCTGGAGAACAAGTATTCGAAGTCTGCACTCAGGATAGCTACAACGTGAGTGCTACCAGACATAACTTCTAGAGTAAAGATTAAGCAAAAGAAAGGGGTGGTAATACAGACTGTGACACACATGCACAAAAGGCTTATAAATTAAGGTGTTTTAGCTCCTCTAGAAGTTTCCGAAACTCGCAAGGGGAAGTTATGTAAAAAGAGAAATTAAAACTTTTTAAATGATGCTGTTCTAAAATCTACAACCCTACCATTCAGTTCAAGGCTGCCATCCTAGAATCTTCTGCATTTCTGTATCCACACCGTGTTTACTCCACAGAGGAGGAAGAACCGCCTCAGCCAAAAACCAAGCTCTAACAACTCCCAAAGTTAGACTTGCTCCTTTTTTTTTTTTTTTTTTTAAGTCTGCAAGAAGGGTTTTGCTCTGTGCAGCCCCTCCTTCAGGAACTGGAGGTAGGTCGCAGTAGAAGGATCTTCAAAATTGGTTGAGAAACTGAAGACGCTGCTCTCAACTTCTTCGGGCTTCATAGAAGTAATATCCAGGAAGTAGTTGGCATTGATGTGGTGAATCTGGGGAAGGAAGCATGCCATAGAACGACACAGTTTAAAACAACCACCACTGTAAGGGCAGTTCACCAGTCAGTGGATTAGCCAATAACCAGGTGAACAATACACTTATGCCCTTCACTAAGTCCAAAGACCTCAAAGTGCTTTGCAGTTGCTAGTGAATTATGCCTCTGAGAAACAGGGCTTCCATTTTACAGATGGGGTGAAGCCATGAGAGATTAATGGCCTGCTTTCCAAGACCGCTAAGCACCTGCAGCTCCATCGATTTCAGTAGCAGCTGGCATTACCCAGTGCTTTTAAAAGCAATGTTCAGCCACAGACAGCGGGGGTAGGACTGCACAGGAGTCCTTGGGCACAGGAGCCAGCACCCTCAAACACACACGCTGTTATTAAGAGGCTTCTCAGAAAGGACATTAGCAACAAAGCATCCCTTTTATTTTGCCTCTGTCTGTCTGGTTCCCATCATGCGTGCACTACTAGGCTGCAAGGAGTTAGTGCTGTCCTGATAGGAGACACCCGTGGAGGGAGGCAGACAGTAGGTGCAGACAGCACAGTCACCCACACTTAGCTGGAGCAAAACAAGCATCAAAAGCTGTTGTCTCTGCTGTACTTCTCCAGTCCAAGGGGGCACAATGGAGTCAGTCTGTTGACCTACTAATGACTCGGATCAACCCAGACGGGATGGGGAAGGATTTAAAGTGCTGGAACCTGCTGGGAGTAAGAAAAGGAGTCTGCCGCACTGACCTGGGACTGGGGCCTGATGGCAGGTTGGGGCTGAAACTACTGGTTGTAATGGGCTCCCTGGAAGATGCTGACTACAATCTAGAGAGCTCTTAAGAGAGGTAAAGGGAAGGAGGCAGGAGCTGGGTTTGGGTTATTCCCTCGCAGAGTCTGTCTGCATCACTTTGGGGCTGTGCCTGTCACAAAGCCCTTGAAGGATAAGGCAGAAATGTGGAGGGTCCGCAGGTTTGGTGCCATTCTGGGGAGGCGTGGGGGAGCTGACACTAAGTTCCAGCTTGATTGTTAAGTCCCATAGATTCATAGATGTTAGGGTCGGAAGGGACCTCAATAGATCATCGAGTCCGACCCCCTGCATAAGCAGGAAAGAGGGCTGGGCCTA